GGATTTGAAACCTGGTTTCCAGAGTCATCATCCAGCACTCAAACCACTACACCATGCTGGGTCCTAGACAGGCAAAAACATAAACAGATTTTCTTGCATGAAGAGAAAGGGAAGGAATAAATACCCTAAAGGCACCAGATCCCATATGATCTTGGAAATGAAGCAGGGTCAACCCTGGTTAATATTTGGATGGGAAACTGGCAATTAATACCAGGTGCTGTGGGATATATTTCAGAGACGGGAAATGGCAAAACCACCTATGAGTATTCCTTGCCTAAGAAAACCCTATGAAATGCATGGGGTCCCCATAGGCCAACTTGAAGGCATATACAGACAGAGGGAAAATGTAAAAGCTTTTGGCATTGGGCAAGTGCCATGGAACAAGATACTCAGGACATGGAATGGAGTGGGGTGCAGCTGAAATGGTCTGTCCTTCCTTCCTAAATGAGAAAACCACGTCAGTTGCAGAAAGAAGTCAAAACTGCAAAATAAATGAGGCTGCACCCAATTCTGGGTGGAAAGGAGGGCTATAAATAAAGGTAATGACAAAGGGAGCATTCCTTTATGCACAGAATTATGCTTGTGCTGTCACAGACTCTCGAGTTTTCGTGGCACATTGTATATTTCTCTTTGCTTGGAAAGTGAATGGTGGGGGGGAAACAATTCCTAGAATTCCTCCATGGTCATTCGGCAGATGTGTAGCTATGGGAGGGAGAGTATTGCTCCCAAAGAATGATTCTGCCCCCTCCAAATGAAATTTTCCTTCAGTCTCCAAATTTCTAGCATTGCAGTAACATTAAACTTCAGTTTAGCATTTAGAAACACAACGTAGGCCTCCAAAGAGAAGGGACAAAGTTATCAAGGGAATGCAAACACAACGAATATAAGAATGTATTAGATTCTTGTGAATGATTTCCACTCTCACACTCTGTACAATGTTGAGGATTGTGGACTGAAGGAAAATATCGGGGGGGGGCAGAATTCTTAATAGAGGAGGTCTTTATTTTCTCTCTCCCGTAGCTATTCTCTTTTTGTCCCTGTTGGTTGGGAATCTGTAGAAGTTTCATAATCTAAAATCCCCCCCCCCCCCGTTGTTAATAATAACAGTGAAGTCAGGAAGAAGAATATCCATTTTTAGTCATGGTAGCTGTCAAAAATATTGGTGCCAGGGTTTTAAAATACATAGAACTATATATGTAGCACAGCTGGTGTCTTCTGTGTCATGAGGGCTGTGAGTCCACTCCAGAGCTTGGTTCTCACTTTCAAAGAGCTATCCAAGGCACTAAATCTATTTGGAGAATAGAACTCAACCCCTGGATAGTGCCTTTAAACCCTAGGCTCAAACTTGGAATGGATTCACCATTTTATAGGCATGGAAAACCACCAGCCACCACTGAGTTGACAAGGTTTCGTGATAACCTGGTCTTCTGAGCTGCGACAGTGGCATATCTACAGTCTGGTGAATGCCATCCTGTCTGGAAACTGGTGGCTCCCATGTCTGTGTGGTGGTGAATCCACTCCGGGGATTTTTTTTTAAGGAGCTATCCAAAGTGCTGAACCCAGCCCTGCCATAGGTTCAACACCTTAGATATCTCCAATAACTCAATTCCTGGAGTGGATTCGTAGCCCTACTGACATGGGAGCCACCAGCTGCCTCTGGATTCACCTGCAAGAGAGCAAGGAGGTCATAGAACAAGCCTGCGGGGAAAACTGTCACAGCTTTGCAGGGAGTCAAGGATAGATACAGCTACAGACAGATATCAATATAGATTTTTTATTAGTAGCAGTAGAGAAGAGGGACTCCCTGCTCAGAGCCCCAGGCAGCCACTCTTGTGGGCTTGGTGATGGCATGATGATAGAGAGATGGGGAAAGGGAGCTGACGGAGGGAGAAAAAGATGCTGCAATTACGCTGAATGCAGCTGTCACTTAAGCCTCTGCTGGCGGCGGCTGGAGGATGATGGACACACAACCCAGCCTGCTTATCAAGGTAGTAACTTGCATCTGTATCTATTTGAAGAAGAAAAAAGGAAAGGCTAGTTTGCTGATGTAGTCAAGGCTATTTCCTCCTGCTTTCTTCCACCCAGCACCGTTTCATAAGTGAGTGATGGCTGCAGCCTCTCAGGCGTCTCTCAGCTAAGGCTTTTTCATATTTTGGCTTCCCAATCCTTGCTGTGAAGATTTAGGGGTGGGTGGGTTAAATTTGAGAGCCAGCGTGGTGTAGTGTTTTGAGTGTTGGACCATGACTCTGGAGACCAGGGCTCGAATCCTCGCTCAGGCACAGAAACTCACTGGGTGACCTTGGGCGAGTCACATTCTCTCATCCTCAGAGAGAGGCAATGATAAACCATCTCTGAACAAATCTTAGGGTTGTCATAAGTCAGAAGTGACCTGAAGGCACACCAGAACAGTGGGTTGAATTTGGGACTTTCCATAGGCAAAAGACATGCTCCTCCAGCAAGCTGTAGCTAGAACTTGGAAAAGTACTTTTTGGGAATAAAAGCCCAGAATCCCCAACCCTCAAGGCCACTAGCCATGCTGGTTGGGAATAATGGGAGTTTTCTTCCAAAGAGGGACATTTCTAAGCTCTGGCCCAACCCAGCACCTGAATGGGACATCTCACGGATGGTGCATGGATGGCTGGTTCATAGAGGATTCCCACATATATGTGCAGGATGTCTCCCTGTATTGCAACCAGTGGCAGCTGGGGTGATAAATCCACCCTGGATTTCAGTCCAAACATTAAAAAGGCTGTCCAAGATGCTGAACCTAATCCTCAATATAGCTCTGCGCCTTGGGTATTTTGTCTTTTTAAGTTCAGACTGGAACACAAAGTAGGTTCACTGCCTTGTGGGTGTTGGTGCCAGGCCTTACTGACTATGATTTCCATATCTCTCCTTCCAAATGCTTGAAGATGCGAAACACTACCAAGGAAGAGAAGCATGCAATGCATACATTGGGCTGCACCCAGAATAACCTGACCAGTGCAGACAGGATCTATGTGGGAGTTTTTGTAGTCAAATATTGCCAGATCATGTTTGTGGGAAGTTCAGCCCTCTCCCACCCTGACCTTAGGGAGAATTTAAGCCCCCTTGCCCTATGGCTAATGAATTCCTTTCTGTCTTTTAATGCCAAAACAGATTGCTATAGCTATCTTTTGGAATACGATTACTATATAATCTATGCTGTAAAACAAAATCAAATTTGGGAAATCAAAATGTGCATCTGGGAAACCTCAAATGAAGCCTCCTTCTATATGAAAAAGACTAAATAATGACCGCCCCTTAACCCAGCCTTGGTTAGAAGAAAGGATGATAAGAGCCTGTACGGCAAGGAGATATCTCCTGCTCAAGGACATGAACAAGATA